ATTTTCTTTTAAAAAAAAAATTTTTTTTTTTAATGTTTTATTTATTTCTGAGAGAGAGAGAGACAGTGTGAGCAGGGGAGGATCAGAGAGGGAGACACAGAATCCAAAGCAGGCTCCAGGCTCTGAGCTAGCTGTCAGCACAGAGCCCGACACGGGGCTCAAACCCACGAACTATGAGATCATGACCCAGGCCAAAGTTGGAGGCTCAACTGACTGAGCCACCTGGGTGCCCCTCCCACTTCAATTTTCTTAGGAAAGTAGGAAGCAAGGTATTCTGTTGACAGAAATAATCATGGCTCAATGAAATCCAGTATGATTGTCAGGGAGCACTAAATGTTTTCTTAAGGTTCTGATTAGGAATTTATATTATTAGTGAGACCAGACACCTTAGTCGTTTTCTTAGTCGTTTCTTAGTAGTTTTCTGAACTACATTCAGCTACAGGGGTCCAAGTGCAGAGCAGAGAGGCTTAGCTAAGGTTGGCGCTTGGCAAATGAGCACAACAACAAAGTGAGAGGCAAGGACAATGGGGATATATTCAGGAGAGTGATCATGACTGACCATGGAATATAAGTTGGGTAAGGAAGGAAAGGAGGGCATCAGGATGGTGAGAGAGATGGTAGCATCAATGTATTGATGTCACAGTGACTCCAAATGAATGTTGTTGGTGTATTAGAGGAAATGGGCTGGCATGATAATAGGTGGTCACAGGGATGCATGAAATTTCAAACTATGGAGGGGTTGAAAAGATTAGTTATGACATGGGGATGAGTGCCCAAAGAAGGTCAAAGACCCAATCAATGGACTTTAACAGGAACCAAGAGGCCAGTTTGTTGGATCATTTGTGTCAGTGGTTTTCTAGCACGTATAAGTATTACATGGGGAGCCAATTAAAAGAGAGATTGCCAGATCCCATCCCCAGAATCACTAGGTAGAGCCTGAGAATATTCATTTCTAAATTTCCTAGTGATGTTGCTGCTGCTGTGTCCAGGGACCATATTCTGAAAACTACTGATCCATATGTAAGTTGAAATTGTCAATTATTACAACGGAAGTAGTTTTGTACCGTGACAGTGAGCCAGGAGAAAAAAACTGTCAAGAAGTAAAGAATAGTTTGATGACTGATAAACTGCCACAATCAGGGATAGTGGATGTATAATTTGAGGAGATTTGAAGCTGGCTTTTATGGGGACAGGTTGGAAATTGAGTGGCTGAAGCAATTGTTGGTAGCAGAATGAGATTAAGGCAAGCCTACATACAGGCAGATTGTCCAGAGTCTTACATGTCAATATTTTATTGCTAGTAGGTAAGCTGGTTAATTCCCTTCTAAGAGAATCTCCAGTGGAATTGCTACTATATTTATCTTGAGTGATCACAAGTGTACCAATTCATGTTCTGGTAGAAATAAAAGCTACACTAATTAGGAAATAGTATGTCCTACAAAGCTAAATATGGCCTTACTTAAGGTTAGGTAGGATGACATTTGATGGGACATAAAGCTTCAGTAGCCCGAGAGTATATGCAGTAATAAGGAACTGTGAAAATACAATGGAGGTAGGTCTACCGGGTGGTCAGGGCATAGACAACATGGCATTACTACCTGGGCCCAGCTTGTGGTCCCACTACTTGTTACTCATGGGATCCTAGCCAAATCATTTAATGTTTTGGCTACTGAATTCCCGTTAACTGGGTCTATCATTTATGTCGCTTACCTCAGAGGAAATTGGAGGGCCAGATGAGTCAGTGCAAGTGCTTCGAAAATGCAAAGCACCATACAACTAGGAAATATAAAGAAAGTAAATTGTACGGAGCTATTCTTAGAAATCAAGGCAGAAGAAACTTTGGTACGTAAGAGATGAGTGGAAAAGAGGATGCTAGGAGAATAACGTGATGTGTGCAGAACAAAGCATTAAGTTGGCAATGTGGCCAGTTTCATATTCAATATGATCTTGAAAGCCTCATAAAATGGCTGGTACTGACATTTATGTTGAAGAATTTATCTTTATAAAATGGTTTCCTTAGAAAACATGCCTTTGGACCATAGTGACTGATATACATGTAGAATTGGAATCTCCCCTTCTTCTTGTGATGTCTTGTAGTACTAAGACTGTTTTTAAAGTTTATTTATTTTGAGAGAGAGAGAGAGAGAGAGAGAGAGAGAGAGAGAGAGAGAGAGGCAGAGAGGGAGAGAACCCAAGCAGGCACTGTCAACAGAGCCCAAAACAGGGCTCGATCCCTTGAACCATGAGATCATGATGTGAGCTCAAGAGTCAGATGCTTAACCAACTGAGCCACCCAGGTGCCTCAAGAGTATCTGTATTTCTACATATGGAGACAAGTACAGGACGACCTGTACTCTTACCTGCCCCCATGCATGTTTCTGTCCCAGCTTGTTACCTGCAAGTGAAATTGTCTGCTGCTGTGAGACCACACAAACTGGGGGCAGAAATTATGCCTGGTCAAAGGTCTTCAACGGTTCTCCATTCACTGTCCTTAAGGCTGTCCAATAAAAGGCACTCCACGATCTGGTCCCCATTCTCTGGGCTTGTATCACTACTACTACCTGGTGATTCAGTCATATTTCTGTTTTCAGAAACTCCAACATGGCCGACTTTTTCCAACTGAATAGCTTTTACACTGGCTGTTCTACCTGCCCGGTGTACCACGTCCCATTCGTGGCTAACTCTTACCCTTCCGGTTTACTTTTGATAGTAGTTCCTCTGACAGCCTCCCTTGAACCCCCTTCTCAAATCTGGGTTAGACTCTTCCAAGCATGCCTTGCACTTCCCTCATCGTAGCACTTCTCACGTCACTGTGGCCACGTGCTTCATTACCTGTCTCGCCAGACCAGGCACACTGTGAAACAGGTCACATCCAGTCTCGTTAACTAGAATTTCTCCCACTTAGCACAGTGCCCGGATTTAGGAGGTGCACAGTAAGTACCTGAGCTGTACTGAAGTTGTAGCAGCAATCACTTGGCACACACAAATTCAGTGAAAGACAGCTTCGATGGTCCTTTACTGGGAGATAAGACATTTGGGATTTAGGAGAGCAGAAGGCAACAGGCTAGTGAAGTTGCCACTTCAAGGAGCCCACTGCTATTTTAACCTAAGAAAATAGTATACATGCACTATTAGCCACCGCACATCAGGGGCGTGCTGTATGGCAGACGAGGAAGTTGCAGTGAAGTGAGCAGTAAATGTTTATTTTGAGGACTTTCTGGGGTGACCAGATGGTTGACAAAAATTACACGTCACAAATCAACTAAGCCTTGTAGGTTATTAGTGCTAGCTGCTTTCACACCTTGACGCTTGTGTTTTGTTAATTTTAATACTCACTGTATGAAATGGACAGACTCATAAAGATCACCATTATTGTAGTAGTCAGCGATTCTCAGTCGTTTGCAATGCATATTTTAAGTTACCGAATGCCTTTTGAAGAGGTAAGTTTCGGTTTTGACCACCTGTGATTAGTGCAAGAAGCGGGAAGTCAGGCATCACTTCATTTCAAAAGAGCAGCAGCCTCTGTGTTGACTTTCCTGCCGATCACTTAGGAAGACCGCCCTTTACTAAGCTACAGCAGTTTTCTAAATGCAGTGGACAAATGACCAGAAAGACGTTCAGTACTACTAGAGAAGCACTACTATATGGTGAGCCATGATGCTTTTCCAAAACACAACCACCTTTCGGTATGGTAACCATGTTATCAGCTGGTAACACGTTTTGCAATGGTTGCAAGAGTTATAATGGACTTAGAAACATACGAATAAAGCATTCAAAGATGGTATAATCCCCAGAAAAGTCAACAAATGAGTAAGTCTCTTCTATATCCTCAATAAAACAGCTCAAGAAGACAGGCAGGTAACAATCATTTCTATTTATTTCAGGACATAATGTTATTATTTAGACCCATGGATGATACTAATTTATAACTATTTATATTTTAAATGTTTATTTTTGAGAGAGAGAGACAGAGTGTGAGCGGGGGAGGGGCAGAGGAAGAGGGAGAGAGACAGAATCTGAAGCAGGCTCCAGGCTCTGAGCTGTCAGCACAAAGTCCACCGTGGGGCTCGAACTCGGGAATGGTGAGATCATGACCTGAGCCGAAGTCACATGCTTAACTGACTGAGCCACCCAGGAGCCCCTAAATTGTGATTATGTATTTAAAAAAAAAAAAAAATTTTTTTTTTGGTATGTTTTATTTCTGAGAGAAAGAGAGACAGCATGAACAGGGGAGGGTCAGAGAGAGAGGGAGATACAGAATCTGAAATAGGCTCCAGGATCTGAGCTGGCTGTCAGCACAGAGCCCAAGGCGGGGCTTGAACCCACGAACTGTGAGATCATGACCTGAGCTGAAGTCGGACACTTGACTGAGTCATCCAGGAACCCCAAATTGTAACTATTTAAATATCCACAGGGTATCTTATTTTTGCAAAGATAGGGTTTAAAAATCATGAAACTGAACCCCCCCCCATAAAACTGAATAGATTAATAAAATAACACACATCAAAATTAGATTAAAAATGTAGGTGCTGGCTCTCACTTGCCACATCCTGGTGTTAAAGATGTTGCAAAAATACTTAAGAGGATCACCAAGCACTCCAGCATTTATAAACACGGGTGTTATCAAAAAGCTCTATCTCTGATTTGGCAAAGAGAAACCATCCAAATTTTGTTCTTTCTATTATCGACACAAGTGAACTGTTATCAGATTGGCATGTGGTTATTACTATTTTTCCTACCATAGCAAGTTCTCGTTTCCCCCAGTCTTTCCCTGGACTATTCTGGGAATAAAATAAATTTATCATCTATTTCAAGCACTCAAATTAGAATGTTAAATCGTATACACCAGGTTGGTACGGTCACATATATCCTTTCCGATTGTAGGCTAAGCAAAGATGTGCACTCAGAGCTGCATCAACATATTAAAGCAAAGAGACAACTCCTCTTATTATCAAGGGAAACAGTGGTCCTTCCATGTAGTGTCTGATAGAGAAAACATGGATTTTGATACATTATCTTATTTTATTCAAACACCAGTCTGATCACACATGGTCCGAAAACACCCAAGTAACAAACCAAATATACACAGATGTTAAAGATTGGTCTTCAAACATCATAGCCAATGATGCCACGCTTGCCTATGATCTCGCCGACATAAAACCACATCCACACCTCAGTGGCCACCAAACCATTCAGCAGAGCTTCCTGAAAAAAGCAGCACAAATTTTAGTGTACAGTTTTTTCTTACACGGTCACAAGTATTCTTTTCCAGGACTGAGTAGCAGAGAATATAAGGATGGTATTCATTTGGAGGGCAATTTTAGCCCAAGTCAAGAATTACTGAAGTTAACTTTGTGCAACTGCTGAGGGCACTTGAACTGTCAACAATGTAAGGTAAGTAGTCCAGAGCTTATAAATTCTTTCAAAGCATTCTTTAAAGAGCTGAACTGACTTAACCCTTTCATTATTAGTTTATGAGACACTTTATGAGCCCTAAAACAACCCACATCCTGGAAAGAGCGGACACATGTAGACAGGGCATTCATATGAAAGGATGACTACAGGAAGGCAAGTCTCAGAACAGACATTTCTGTCTGGCCAAAGAGAATTTGTTGAGGGTTGAAGAGCAAGGTCTTCCCCTTTATTCATTTATTATTTGGTTTAACTCTTTCCGAGTGTTCGGTGAACGCTCACTTGCACAGATCAATGCTTTACTGCCCTGAGGGAGAAGCGGCACATGACGGGCTCCTCCAAGCAACGCTGCGCAGGAGCACAACCCCGGGTCCTGAAGCTCTAGCTGGAAAAGGTACTTTTCCACAACAAAACTGGGCCTTGTCCTTTAAGTACCTGAATGTGAATTTTAATTTTCCCCTTCAAAAGAGACCAGAAATATTGGAAGTCTCCTGAAAAATAACTGTATTTTCCAGGGTGTAGATTCTCAAGGCAGAAGTAATTTACTTATTTAGGCTTTTTGAAACCTGTGTTTGGCTCAAGCAAGCAAACATAAAATCCAAGTTGCAATTCTTACGGTCCTTAGATTTTATCTTAATGCAATTCAATAACCCCTCCCGTTAGGTGATATGCTTGCTAGGTTTTGGTATTTTTATCTTCCATATGAGTGTTAGCCTCCTGACTGTGATACAGTCCAAGAGATCTTTTGGCTAAACCTGGAATATTTTCAGGACTACAGACTGAAAAAAAGTATAGAATCGGCAAAGTAAGTCATCTTATTTCAGTATACTAACCAAAACAGGAGAGAGAAAAAAGTTGCTCAGGAAAAATGCTCACTTCTTTGTTATAAGACTGATAGGAAACAAAGACACAAAATAGCGTGAATTATTTCAACACAGATGACAAAATTAGAAAAGTAAGTATCTTTCTCAGCAGTCATGAAAGAGATTCTCTCTCATTATGTAGGTTTCAGCCTCACTGGAAAATACATATATTAATCAAAACAATCAGAAAAATCCCAAGGGAAGACATTTTCTGTTATGCACATACATTTTCATTTAGCCTATAGTTACCTTCACTGTGAGCTGTTTGAAACTACCGGTCTGAGCGCTCTTGACGATGGTTTTCAAGCTCTGAATAGCTGCAGGGATCTCAGCGGGGGTGGGAGGAACCAGCTCAACCTTGGCATAGTGCCAGAATGTGGCCAATCGAGGCTTCGAGTAAGTCACAGCAGCTGGAAAACAAAACAAAACAAAACAAAAAACCAGGATGAACTCGCTAGAGACCGAAAGAAGCAGATGTGTGGGCTGGTCACAAATATTTATTCATGCATCACATTCATTCACTGCTTGTACCAAATGTGCACCCAGTGTGAAAAGTCAAAGCCGCTCCCTGGTAACAAGAGGCTTTTAAAGATGCGGAACACCTGTGTCACGGGGCCGCTCAATCAGGCAGGAAGCTAGAAGCACATTCAATCACGCCATGACTTTGCTAGTGGCCAGCTAGTATGGTTGCTTCATTTACAAACGGCAAACCTGGTTAACTGTAAGGTTCCTAGAAGCTGGACTCAAAGGCAAGAAAACAGCAGCAGTGTCACCATATTTTCTTGGTAAAGAGAGCAGAAAATTTGGAGGGAACAAGGGCAGAAGAGGAGGGAAGAAGTTACACAAAACAGCATCCTTAAGATGAAAACCTGTCACAATGTTGGCCACAAATCCAGATGAAATTATACCAATTAGGGGCCATTTTTGGTATCCTCGTCACTATGTGAATCAAATCTTTAACAAAAGCCCAGCTGCTACGCCTTCAAAACACCACAAATAATAACAATAAAACCTATAAGTACTGTTCAGAGTAGCCAAAACTCAAATCTATTACTATGCTGAAATTCCTTAAGGTATTTACGATTTCATATAAAAAAAAAAATCCAATAACCAGCGTAGATGTGAGACTATGGTAGTCTTTTCAGCAAGAGAAGGCATTTTATAAAAAGTGTTACAAGACAGAGGTAACAAAACAGCACAAATGCATAAGCATCCATAAAGTGTCTACTATTGACAGATGTATTACCCAAGGCTCTTGGTACTTTTCCTATTATTAGCTTCCTGTATTTGGGTATTTCACTACTCTTAGAATTACTTTCTGTATCATCCTTTGTGTCGAGGACCATGGGTAAATCTTCAAGCAGAAACAAAGCTCTAACAGACAACTCTACACAGAAGATGAGACTATCAAAGAGTACAAGGTCTCGTGTGACTGTCTTTAAAATGGTCTTCAACGCACAGATATTTCATCTTTTTAAAAGAATTTGAGAGAGACAAAGGGTGCGAGTGAGTGAGGGGCAGAGAGAGAGACAATTCCATTCAGGCTCTGCATGGTCAGCATGCAGCCTGGAGTGGGACTCAAGCTTATCAAGAACTGCAAGATCATGACCTGAGCCGAAGTTGGACACTTAACTGATTGAGCCATCCAGGCGGCCCTCATTTTTTTTTTTATAGTCAGTACTCTGTACACAAACACTGTATTTTCTTTGGTAAATGTGCTTTTCAAGGAGTACAGATGAAAAAGTCTGAAATTGCTTTACATATATACAAGGGATGAATAAAACATAAATAAATGAAGGGCTTGGGAGGTTTAAGCATCTGACTCTTGATTTCAGCTCTCACAGTTTGTGAAATTGAGCCATTTGGCTCTGCACTGACAGCATGGAGCCTGCTCTGGATTCTCTCCCTCCATCTCAGGGCCTAGACCTTACTTTCAAAATACCATTGTCCAACATTGTCCAACAAAAGAAACTAGGGCTCCTTGGAGAATCAGCTGATTCTGAGGCCAAGGCAGGGAAACTGTTAACATGAGGATCCTGTAGTACAATAAAAGGGACATAGGTGCTAACCTGAGAGAGTTCTCAATGGTCAAGGCTGCAACAATTTGAATAAAATAAATAACCTACTATTGGAGGCATGAAGTATGAAATAAATGTACAGGAGTCCATACAATCAATGACTGAATAAACATGGGTAAGCAAAGCAAACTTTTCTCATAAAATTCCACTTAATTATACGTAAATACTCCTTCCTACAGGAGATATGGATGCCTGCTGTTGGCTGCGGCTCCTCGCCCCTGCCATGGGGTAGACTGAGTTACTTGCTTCTGGAGAACAAATGATGGGAAGAGAAACAGAGTTAACTTTACAGTGGAGAAATCTAGTAATACTACCTTAACCAAATAATGAGCGCTAATTTGACCAGTGATGATATATGGGTGTCATGTACGTCCTGATACATGACTAGGGCACTTGTGGCTCTTTCTCATAACCCGTAACTCCAGACTAATCATGAGAAAAATACCAGACAAATCCGGATTGGGGAACTTTACAGGATCCCTAGATAGATATCTACATAGATGCTTTTAAGACTGTCAAGGTCATGAAAATGAAGAAAAACTGTAAAGTGTCACACACCAGAGGAAACTAAGGAAGTAACAACCCAGTACAATGTGGAACCTATATACTGGCTCTTGGGACAGAAAGTGATTAATGAAAAAATATGGTAAAATCCAAATAGAGTCTCAAATTTAGGAAATAGGAAAAAAACATTAGATTCTATGACCTCTCTGGGGAAGTCTGATTACAGAATTATTTATTTCTATAAGCTTCTTTGTACCACCATGGGAATTAACATAGTTTTTTTTTGAACCTGTGGCCCGGAGATCAGAGTCGCATGCACTACTGACTGAGCCAACAAGAACCCTTATAGACAGTAATATTTTATTTTATTAAAAATATTTTTTTTTAGAGAGAGAGCAAGAGCGAGTGGGGGGGGGGGGTGGAGCAGAGAGACAATCTCAAGCAGGTCCCAAGCTCAGCACACAGCCTTGATCCCACCCTGGGATCAGGACCCGAGATGAAACCCAGAGCCGGATGCTCAAAACTGAGCCACCGGGCGCCCCTTAAGATTTTATTTTTAGGTAATCTCTACACCCAATGTGGGGATCAAACCCACAACTCCCAAGATCAAGAGTGTACCCACTGACTGAGCCAGCCATGATTTCCAATTTTTATTACTTAGTATTGACATTTAATACACTGAATTATGTTACAAAGCAAAATGTATTTCCATTATCTAACGTCGGGTCCCAGCTGAATTCTCTCTTCTGAGTACTTTTGGAAGAATAACAACTGTTATCTTTCAATTACGCACAATAATAGAAGCAAAGGTTTATCTATTTCATAATAAAAAAATTTTTGTATTATTTTTCTTTTTGGATTTTATTTCTCAAATTAGTTTGCAATCGCTCCACCTGAAAGATGTGAAAGCCATGGTCGGGGGACAAAATCCACCTGAAACTTATTTTGCTTCAAATCACCCACAAAGTCCAAAAGATGAAGCCACAATTCTTTTTATTTACGTACAATAGTAGAGCTTTATCACAACAGTTGCTGAGATGATCTTAGTAACGCTGGAAACCTAAGCTCTTTGGGAAAATGTGTAAATTAGTAGACTGCGTGGGTTGTGTAGGAGGAGAGAACGAAGCATTATGGCAAGGCCTTCAATAACTCATTGTTTGGCTGCTGGTGGGAGGGAAGGAAGGAGAAGATGCATAAAAAGGTACCAATCACAATAAAACTGGTTCCGAAGTATTACCTTTACTTAAAACATTTATCTCGCCTTGGAAATAAAATGAATAGCTTGCTACCCGGCAGAGAACTGCAATTATTTCCGGACCTAAGGTACTACTACTCACGACTGAGGCTATTCAGGTCACAGTCTATTGTGTCTATTTCAGATTACTGTTCTGAAAAACAGCGGCCTACAGGTAAGACCTCAGTTTTATCAAACTGAAAAGCTCCTTGAACGTTAAGCTAGAATAACAACGACTGCTGTTTACACACCTCCCTTTCTATATTTGTTGGAGCAGGGATCCTTGCCCACAAAATCCCATTCCACCTAACATTTCCATTAAAGAAGCATTTCCCAATCCGGCCAGAACAGAAAGCAGTCAATGCTCAAAAGCAAACGTATCCCTGAAGACTTATGTATCCTTCCAGATACTCCGTGTGAGAACCAGACAACCCGATGAGGCCGAATTTACGGTGCTTCCACTGGTCTCTGCCCTCCCCTTCCCGCGCTCCGCTGCCAGGGCCAGCCCCTCCATATTCCCACTCTGCCAGGTCTAAGGGGGCGTAATGGCGGCAGTGCCGGGCAACTGCAGGCTTCCCGGGCACCTCTTCCCTCCTACAGTGTCGCGGTTACGACTCAGAACTGCTAGGCTGTACAGAGAACCCAAACTGCAGGGCAGGCGAGAGCAAGGCCAGAGAAGGGCCGCAGACCGGCCCCTGCTTCCCCTCTGCCCTCCCTCCCGCCCCGGTTCCCGCAGGCCCCTCCGGGTACCACCTCCCGCGTCTTGATCTCAGGCCCTCCCAGCCCGCAGCCGCGCTCACCGTTCACCAGCGCCGGGGCCTTCTCCGCGAGGTTGCGGACGAACTGGGCCATGGTTCCAGGATGGAGACCCCGTCGCCCCGGACGGCCGCTGAATGTCACCCGCCGGAAGGACCCGCAGCAGGACCCGGTTCCGCTTCCAAGGTCAGGCCTCCTCTTGGCGCGCCGGTCCCAGATGTTCAGATGTCCTGTCTTCTTTCCGGAATCTAGCTGGCCACATTATTTTCTTCAGCAGCAGAGGAGAAAGTGGGTATGAAAAGGGGAGGTCAGAGAACACGTGGAGAGCAGTAGGATTCCGCAGAGAAACAGGCATTTCTTGGGGCAGCCGCCTGCGGAGGGCCGGAAGGCCGGCGAGCGGAGGACGCGCGCATGCGCCTCGAGCCTCCCGTGCTTAGCGCGGCGTGGACCTGTATTTTTTCTGCGTGGGGTGTTGTCGGCGCTGTTCTAAGAGACCTTGGGAAGTTAGGGCTGGGAGGCATCTCTAAGGTGTTCCTAGGCCAGCACGAGCGTCTTCTAAAGGCAGGCAGGATTCGAAGCCAAAGATGGTCAGAGCATGCGCCACATCACCTGTTACGTGACCCAGGCCTTTCCCCTTCTTTAGCTCTTTTCTAACCTCGATCTCCCCCACATCTTGGGTCGGGATCTGGGTTTCACTGGTGAGCCACAAGGAACTGCGTAGATGTGAGCAACAAAAGATTGGCTGAGGGCCTCCAGTATGCCCGGTAATTTGGAATTTAAAGAAAGCCTGTGTGTTAGGCAGTGATCCCATTTCAGACAGATTGATAGATGGCCACACAGCTAGTGAGTGGCAGAGTTGGGATCGCCAGAGGTTGCAGTGTAAACAGGCAAGGGACATCAGTATCCTGTAAGGAGCGGTGGCGATCTGGGAAGACTACCAAAAAAACACTGGTGTATGACAGAACAGCTCTGTACCACAGGGTTGAAACTTTATAGTTTAATGTGACCGGAAGAAAAGACTAATGTAGGGAGGTGGCATTTGATAATGATGTGTACCCTGGAGAAACCTGAGCTTATCTGATGGATGGGACAGTCAGAGATGGAAAGAAAAATTAGGGGGTGACATCAAGGAGCCCAGAGCATCACTTCACTGGGGTGATTCAGCAACCAAATATTCCAGAGAAATCAAGTTAAGGATGAGAAAGTTAATACACCAATATGGGAATATTAGCTACGGCAGTTTCAGAAAGGGTAGGAACCAGAGTGAGTGAATGTGGCCATAAAGGATGAGTCAGAAAACTAAGTAAGGATGTGGAAGTTAAGGTAGAGAGTGAAGGTGGAGAATTGATAGCTGAAGAGACCAGAAATTGGTGGCGTTAGCCTTGGAGCCGTGGGGCCCTTTCCATGGATGGGATGATGGGAGAGAAGTTTGAAGTGGAAATTCTTAAGTCTTTATCTTCCCTGTAAAGTGGAAGGCAAGATCTTCAGTGAGGGCTGAGAGGGTTGGAGAAACTGGCGGAGAAGGTTAAAGTTTGAACTGGTGTTGAATTGTGCACGCTTCAGCTGCACATATACTAAAATTGAACCGGTGTTGCATTTTGGACACACAGAAGGGTTGCTGGGTACTGTTAACAACCAAAGATTTGAGGTCATGCCACTCCCAAGATTGTGTCATTTTTCTACAACAGTGGTCCGAGCTTGGGTGCTGGGACAGAGGGGAATGGTTGGCTTAATTTAGGCCGAGGTCTTACATGGCAGAGGAATAGAATCAAGGGGGAAGACGGGGAATGTGGTTGTGAATGATTAAAATGAAAGACCTGGGGTTTAGGCCAGATAAAGAAAAGTGAAGCCAGAAATGAATTGATGAGGAAAAACATGTCTAAGACTCATCGGGGTAACTCCAGGGTCAGAAGCCTCGGAAGGGAGGTTAGGGCAGCCAGGTGACACACATGTGAAGTCACCTTGAAGAGAAGTGAAGGTCAAGAGTCCTCTAAAATTTCAAGGGGGTTTCTGAAACTGCCACTAGCTTTTCATACTTTAAGGAAGGAAGTGATAACCAAGGTTGTAAGTCAGCTGTTCATTTATTAAATACAGGCTTTGAACAAACACCCCCAGGCAAGTTTGACAAGAAGTAGCCTTCCTGGAATGTTTCAAAATACAGTTATGTTGATCAAATTTTATTTCAATCAACCCTTTTTGTTGTTTTATCTTTTATTTGTTTCTAGGTTTTCCGGCGTTGCAGTTAGAGCATGTGCATTATTTCCTCATATGACCTCAACAGTGCAGTATTAGCCTCTCTGGCTTGTAAAGGCACCCAGTAGGCTTCACCTCTGGGCAATGGCTGCTTAGCAACCAGCATCAAAATAAAGTAATGAAGCTTTTGTAGACTATGATACCAAATAGCGACTGGCACCCTCACCTGCACCGTTAAAAAACTTTTAAAGTTTCTTTGTTTTTACATATCCATTAAAAACTATATATATTAAAACAAAGATTGCTTGATAAACCTACTTAAATAATTTTCCGAGTTTAGTTATTACCCTCTTGGTAAGCAATACTAGAGCTGATAAAAGAGTCTTCATTTTCCTATCATACTCCAGCAAAGCCAGCACTTAAAACTAGGGGTTATCAGAAGGTCTGCTCTAATAGGTTTAGAGCTGCTTTCTGAGTTTCAGACAACAAAACGTCTCTTTAAGCTTCCAAGCATGTATATACATCATGGTGTGTCCAGAGGATAATTTTTTACTCTCATTTTTGGAATAGTCTTGGGTTACTTCAAGGAAAAAAAAAAAAAAAAGGCACAGAGGACACTTGGTTTGCTCACCAACAGTGGCCTTAAACTAAATGCTTGCTTTTGTGATGAGTTTGAAGATATGCAGCAGCATTAACGATGCCACAGCCATTCATAAAAAGCTTCTGGAAATAACTTAAAAAAAAAAAAAAAATCTTGCCCGAAAAGGCTTACAATCTGAAGACCACAGAAGTAGAAGACAGACACAGACACTAAGAGGCAGCATAGAGGTTGTTAACTAAGCTGCTGGCAACAGCTGCCTTCTGAGGTTTTGTGCCCATTTTTCCTCTGATTTTGTCCTTAGAAAACTGGTCTTTTCCACACATTTAAAAAAAAAAAGAAAAGAAAACATCCTATTACATTGGGTTTGGAAGATAAATGCAAGTAGGTAGAAGCTTCTTTTATACACAGTTCATTCGTGGAGGAGGAAGACATTAAATATGAAATGAAGCTCATTTTAAGAAAGTAAACAAATCCTGTTAACCCAAGCCTTAGAGGCCCAGGCTGCACACTAAATTAATATCTTACATTTTGGCATTTCCAAGAGTCCTAGACTCTTCTTTTTTTTTCATTATAAACACAGCGACAGGCAACATCTCCTTTGTACCTAGTGTGGGATGCCCACCAATTGGAGGTTTTCCAGGTGACACCATCAAAAGCACATCAAAGACTTCACAGCAACTTGTGCTAGAATATCGTAACCATCTCATCTGAAAGAAGGCATGGTTAAAAATGAAGCAGTGATCCGTTTCTAGATATCACTTTTGTCACGGTATATTCAGACTTATGGGGATAGTGCTATCATCCATAGGGGAAGGTGCCTCGCTTAGCACAGTAAGCCGCACATTTAGGGAGCGCGAGCTCAAGTTGGACAAGTGGGGCCCATCTGCCTGCTAACTACGTAGGGCTATGTGGATATTTAAATTGCCTGTGGACGAGGTTGTGCTCAAATTCCTACTCTGTTAATTGATGACCCTAAGGCTGAGTGAGAAGTGGCTCTTGGGAATTAGGTCACAGTCCCAAACAAACGTTAACTATATACATGTTACAGTCTCAGAATTTTGTCTAGAATAAGTATGTCAGTAAACATGGCCACACACTGCATACATCTTACCATGGAAGAGACAATATAAAGTGGTACTCAGTTTACACTAGACCAATATAAAAATGCACATGGTGTGTATATATAGAGATATGCTGTTGATAAGTGTCTTAAAGTGACATTTTCACGGTTACCATATTTGTTCCCTAACTTTTCCATTCAAGCCTAGTCCTTGAAGCAACAGTTTTCCTCATTTTTTCTTTCACCTCAGAATTTTCTGAATAAAGTGTAAAAAATTCACATCTGTCCGACCAATCCTCCTAAAAATATCATGGGGTATGAGTCTTTTGGGTAATGATAACCCCAGGGGCGATCTCATGGGATCTTTTGAGATACAAGATAACATAAAATTAAGAACTACCAACAGAAATTGTAGCAGATTCCATTTTGAAAATCTCATCTATTATAGTCAAAAGTCTCAACATCAAGGTATCTGCTTTTATGTGAAAGGTTATTCTGTAACGTGGTGGAGCCGCAACAAGAAAAGGGCGGACATCTGGGTCATGAAGACTAGTAAACAGCTTGACAACACAGGACTTTCTGGTGGTGTCAGCTGTCACTGATGTATGTGACCTCATATACTTAAAAGCCGTGCTCACCAAAGGTGCTTGATCAGTTCTTGGAAAAGCAACAGTAAGACGGCAGGAGTTATAGTAGCTGAAGTTAATGTAACTTAAGGTAGGAAAAGAAAGAAGAAAGAGTGGGAAGAGAGAACAAAGGGTACGGTTAGCGATCGTTTCTAAACTTGGTGCTGCTATAATAAACATAATTTCCTGCGAGCCAGGAGAGCATTGTAAAGTTCTTAGGAATAAATCTAAAGAGTCATAATTTGAGCAAGAGCATTTCTCTAATTTAGTTTAAAAAAAAAAAAAAAAAAGAAAAAGAAAAGGAACAGAACCAAAAAAGAGAGAAACCACAATTGTTTATCTGCACTCTGGGATTGGGTTTTTGGTTTGTTTCATTCACAGTAATTTATTCAAGTTGCTCCTTTTGCTGTTGTTTCCTCTCTGCGAGCCACCGCTGTATTTTTTCTTTTAGTTCTGTGTTTGGCCGGATCTGGTCCATGGTGAGGGGACTACGGTTAAAGGGGTCGGTTTGGTCACTGGGACAAAGAGAGAAAGGGAAAGGAGTTATTCCCGCCAAGTTCTGACCCCCGGAGCCCAAGCTAGGCCAGCTGGTGCATCTCCCTGGGGCTGAAGCTAGACCACACCGGGGCGAAGTCGAGCGCTGACTTGAGGTTAGAAAGAAGGAGATGAGAAAGTGTGATTCGGGTGGGTT